CTGTACTGAGAACTAATTTTGTAACTTTCTTTTAGTTTCTCATAATATACAGCTTGTTAACAAAAACTCTTAAACAAATACAATTCAAATTACAATAATTCCTAAACCAAGTCTTGTCTTGAGATTTTGTGATCTCTTCCGCCATTGACCGTTTTCAGCTTCAGCAGATTCTGCTTGGCAGAGCGGTTGGCGTTGCGTTTGATAGATCTTTAATATCCAAAGTGGATATTTAAGATCTTGGAAGCAACACATCTCTCAAAATAAGAAGAAAGATAGAGAGAGTGTTGTTCCAGAGAAGGTGTATGGTCTAATACTGAAAAATACGAGATTTCCACCATAGACCTTCTCTACTGCCGAGATTCTCACCATAGACCTTAAAAGTCTTTTCTTCTCAATAGGGCTCTTCCATTGCCGTCTATGAGGGTGAGAAAGAAAAATTTCTCCATTGAGGATATTTTTCTTGGTGTGTTTCTTAGACAGTGAGTTTGAGGACTTTTCATGTTGAGAGAGTTGTTTGTGATGGAAATGGATTAAGATATCTTGATTTAAATAGGAGAAGAGAGGGTTCACGGGTTCCATTAATTTGGTAGGTGGAATGGTGAGAGTAAAAGAGTTTCAACTTCCAAGAAGTTGAAAAGTAGAAGGAATCTTTTACCAATTACCAATGAGTTGAAACTGTTCCAATTTGAAAATCAGTTTCGTTTGGTTTGAGAATCATAACTGTTTTAGTTTGGCTAAGCCCAAGAGAGTGGCCCAAAAAGAACAGAAAGCTACGTACTAAAGGGAAATTATTCCTATTGGGTTCTCAAGGCCCAAAATAAAACTATCATTTTTCATTCCCTATAGTTCTAATTTCTACTTAGGACGAGGTAGCACCAAAACAAATATGAATATTATTTTTAAGAAAATTGTTGAAGCAATATTGCAATGTTTAAACCAATCAAGCAATGTTTAAACAAGAAGGTGTTTGCATCAAAGTACTTTAGTGTTCTCACATACTTTCCCCCTGTTTTGATGAAAAGAACCTTCAGTTTCTCTTGCGCTTTGAAGATCCGGCAACCTCACTGATGCCCTTCATGTTCCCACACAGTTCTTTGATGCGCCTTAAATTTTCACGTCTTTCTTCTGATTGAGCATCATTTGAGAAGTGGTCAACAACTGTACATATAAATTCTATTCCATCCAGTCCTGAGCTGGATAGAAGCTGTGCTGAGTTTTCCGGATTTCTTTGCTGTGCTTCAAGGATTAGATTTGTCAAGTTCAAATGAGAAGGAATATAGGATACTTCTCCTTCTTTGACTGCAATAGGGAGCTGTGGTATTGGAGATGGACTGTGTTGTTGGAGAATTACTTCCCTCTTGCGGTTTCCAGAATCTGCGCCAATAAGTCTGAACAGCTTGTATGCTTCCTTTTGATTGTCAATGATCACCTTCAAGTAGTCTTTGGTCACTACCTGATTTGCAGAAGCTACTGCTAGGGCTGATCTGATGTCCATTTGGAGAAGGGACATCTGTTTTTGGAGACTAACTGTGACACTCGCTATTTGCTCTTTGACTTTGTTGATCTCTTTGAGTTGATGTTGACTGTCAAAGGCATATATTTCCATAGTGTTGCTCACAGTTTCACTCAATAGAGAGATAATCTCCAGAGTCTTCTACACTAATTTGCTTATTTCTTTGAGATCTGCGCTGTGTTTTCCTTCAGATTTCTCTATCAGCTGGGTGTGCCTGACTTCCATTTGCTCTATCTCTTGCCTAAAGGAGGCATGTTGAGATGCTAGGGCTGATTCAATCAGCCCTTGGACCTTCTTTGTCCAGATTTCCGGTATTTTATCCGGAAGAGTAGGGGTGGAAGAGCTATGGAAATGAAAATTGGTTACCTGATGAGATGGTGGTGTTCTTTGGAAGAGTTGCAGAGGAAGAGATTCAGCATCTTCTTGTACATCTTCTTCATCAGTAACCTTCAGTGTTCTTTCAGACTCTCCTTCTGCTTCATCAAGCGCAAAATTTGATATATCCCTAGAGAGGGAGTCTCTTTCTTCAGCTGTATTCTCTTCTTCAAAAATGGCTACTGGAGTTTGAGAGACCTCTAGTTCTGCCATTTGATTTTCCTTTTCAGCTTCTCCAAAATTCCTTTGTGCTTCAACAGCTTGCTCCATTGTTTTTGGAAGAGCTGACTGTTCCGGAATTTCTGCTGACTTCTCCGAGATCTCAATTTCAGTAGGATTGGAGATCTCACAAGGAGTGGTGAGAATCTCCAAAACTTGAGATCGGATTAGTGGCTGAAATTCTTTTTCTTCTGCTCTTTCCTGGTTCTGTTCTTGTTGGGGTGAGGTTGCCTTCTCTTCTACAACTTCAGTTAGAACCATTTCAGAAACATGTGAGGTTTCTGGAAGTGTTTGGAAATCTTCAGCTGCGGCTTCCAAAACACCTTGTGCTTCAGAAGTGAAAACCACTTGATCTTCTGTGTCTTTTGAGAAGACTGACTTGAAGACTGCAGGATCTTCATCATCTGCTTCAAAGTCAGAAACTGGTGTGTTGGCCAGGTATTCCAGATGCAAGTCTTCACGATTCCTTTGCCATACCCAGTAGTCATCCAAAATTTGTTCACAGTTGTGGTTGACTGGTATTCCTAAGCACTTTTTGATGATCTTCTCATTCTTCAGTTGTTGGTCCCAATTCAACTGTTGCTTTGCTGAATTTCCAACTTTCCAGGCTTTCCAACCATAGTAGAGCTGCCAGAATTGGTTATCTGCATCATCTCTTTGAGGTTGAGGTGATGAGGTTGGAAGGCTTTGGACTTGAGGAATTTCTTCTTCAAGTTGTTGAGGGCTCCGGTTTTGAGCAGAGGTTTCCTCAGCAGGTTCCTTCTCCTTCAACTCATCCGGATTGACATTTCCAAATGTTGATGGAGAGTTGATCTTCCTCTTCTTCTTCCTTTGAAGTTCTCCTTGGTCAGAGGATTCTTCTTCTTCTTCAAGATTTATTGGAGCAAGATTCTGTGGTGCTTCAGCACTGGGAGAAGGAGACACCACATGCTTTCTCTTGGTAGTCTTTGTGAAATTGATGAGTGGAACATTGTCTGATGAGCTTTCTTCTGCAGTGGCACTAGCACTAGCTCTGTTTTCTCCTTTGGAGGATAAGTAGTATAGCCAGTATCTGGCTTCATACTTTTTCCCTTTAACTGCAGCGCCCATAGATTCCAAAATATGTCCAACATACTGACCTTGACAGAGATACTTCTGATTGTGCTTTCCTAGATGTTTTGAAATGGATTTGAAAAAGTGTGCAGCCCAGTTTACCTTAGTTTTGGTAATGAGAGAGTTGATGATGAAGGCTCTCTCCTGGGTGATGTCATCGGCATGACCTCCACTTCCACACTCGAGGCAAGCGATGACCAGTTCCAAAACCAACTTGTAATCGTTGTTTAGATCTGCTTTCTTCGCTGGGCCAGAAGGAACTTGCC